TAAAATAAAGATATTGTGTCCACCTAAAACTAAAAAAAATAAATAAAATATTTTAAAAAAATAAAACTTTTTTTTAAAAAAAGAAAGGGGTTTAGCTGGAGGGAGGAGGAAAGAGCAAGAGGAGGTACTCGGAATTGAAATTAATCAAATCGCTACTATGTATGTATGAATATGCCACAATGAACCCCACTATTCTGTGAGTATCAACTTAAAAAAAAAAAGAATCTGTTTCCTAAACCAAGAGTTAGCTTTAGATTGTATGCTTAGGTCTATGATCCATTTTGAGTTAATTTTTGTGTATGATGAGATAAAGGTCCAATTACATTCTTTTGCACGTGAATCTGTAGTTGTTCCAACACCCTAAGACTATTTTTGCCCATTGATTTGTCCTGGCGCCCTTGTCAAGTCAATTGACCATAAATACAAGTTTCCTTTCCTGACCCTCATTGATCTACATGTTTATTCTTAAGCCAATGCCACCCTGTCTTGATTACTTTGCAGTAAGTTTTGAGATGAAGAAGTACGAGTCTTCCAACTTTGTTTCATTTCAAGACTGGTTTGATTGTTCTGGGTCCCTTGAGATTAGCATTAGTTTGTCAGTTTCAGAAAAAAAGCAAATTGTAATCCCCCCCATCGCCCCACCCAATGCTGAGAATTGAGCTGAGGGTCTTGTACATACCAAGAAAGCAAGCTCCCTACACTGAGCTAAACCTCCCACCTCATGCTGCAATTTTGACAGGGTCATTCTTGGGATTTTGTATAAGATCTTTAACTCAATGGGGGAGTGAGTAATGCCATCTATTCCGGTTTAGATCTGATGTCCCTCAAAAGTTCACGTGAGATAATGCAAGAAGGTTTAAAGGAGAAATGATTAGGTTATAGCCTTAGCCTAATCAGTGAATTAATACCTGATGGGATTGATTGAGAGGTAACTGGAGGCAGGTAGGGTGTGGCTAGAGGAAAGTGGTTCGTTGGGGGCCATGGCTATGGGGTATATATTTTGTATCTGGAGAGTGGACTCTCTCTCTCTCTGCTTCCTGATAATCAGATAAGCCACTTCTCTCTGCCACACTCTTCCACCATGATACCTTGCCTCATCTCGAGCTCCAGGGAATGAAGCTGGTCTTTATGGACTAAGACCTCTGAAACTGTGAACACTCAAATAAACTCTTCCTCTCCTATAGTTGTTCTGGTCTGTCCCTTTAGTGACAGCAGCAAATAAGCTGTTGAGAGCCACAGGTGAAGGGGCCCCAGCAAACTTCCAGCTGCCAGCAAACTTCCAGCTGCCAGCTAATGATTGGCTCACAGCGGCCCCAGCAAACTTCTACTGCCAACTGATTGGCTCCTCTGTGGTGATGCTCATTGGGTTGTTTCCCCGCCCTTTCAGACCACAGAGCTGCTCACTGGGGGACTTTTTGTGGCTCTGCCCATGCGACCCAGCCAATCGGCCTCAAGAGCAGGAGGAGTGGGGGAGGTTGGGAGGCTTGTGGGAAGCCGGGGGTGGCAGTTGGGCTCACACAACCTATGGTCCTCAAGCACCCTTCACTGTAAGCATGGTTGAATCCATTAACAACTTGAACATAACACCAGCAGATTGGGCTATGCTTTCTTTAAATTTAGATTCTCGCCCCATGCTAAAACTAAATATTCAAGGACATGAATTTAATGGGCTACTGGATACAGGTGCAGACCTTAGCATCATCTCTCGTCAAGAATGGCCAAAACATTGGCCATTACAACAAGCCACTCAAACGCTTCGAGGCCTAGGAGTGGCGACTATTCCCCATAGAAGTGCAATGGTATTAGATTGGAAGGATCCTGAAGGATGTGAAGGAACTATACAGCCATATGTATTGGATCATCTTCCCGTAAATTTATGGGGATGAGATGTCCTAGATCAATTA